AAATATGTTTTGAAAGCCACTGACTGGGTGATTTGATTAACACGCTAAGATTCAGGCTAGAAATTTTAATATTTGTGCCTATTTTTATATTTTTTGAAATAAAAACCAAAAGACTTATAAATATAGAAGAAACCGCGGAAATCCATATTAGGCTTATGATATTTAAAGATACTTACCAGAAATAATAGGAATTAAAGTGATAATATACTGTCAGTATCAATTTGAAACTATCTCGACGATTATTACATTTTCAGCATTTGCATATATATATTATGTAACAATATACATATATTGTTATTAGCATTCCCTGCGGATCCGCCCGCGTTCAGATGACCAAAAACCAAAATCTTAGATTTTACATAATAGTATGCTCTTACAATGCAGTTTTTGTATTTTTTCTCAGAAATGAGATATTTTCTCCTGATAAAAAGTATCCTATATGTTGACCCGGATAACCAGCTATCATCATACCAAATTATATCAAAATCCGTCCAGTGGTTTTTCCGTGATGCGGTAACAGACAGACAAAATGTTTAAAAACTATAAATTCGGTCTCTGTATCGATAATAATGTCTATTTCGATAAGATTTTCCAAAAAATATTTAATGTACAGATTCGGCTCAGTTACAATTTGATTATATGTACCTATAGATTAACATGATCACTCAACCAAAGTTTATTGAAAATAACTCATCATAATATGATTAATTTTTCCTACATTACTATGTAAATATGTATATTACAAAAATCTTTATTATGTTCTGTTTGTTGTTTTTGTCAATTGATAGTAATGAGAACGCAATTTTAATTTACGGGTGGGTGATGATCGATAGTCGTATAATCTATATATATGCTTTCGAACATTGAAGTATATAGCGTCCACTAATACAAAATTAATTAGTATCTCTCAGACATACAGGTTTTCTCGTGATGTTCTCCTTTACCGTTAGGCAAGTGGTAATCATGTGGATTGATGATTCGCATGAACATATCAGTGGTGCGAGACCCGGGACTTGAACCAGTATCACTTAGTTTTCCAAGCGAGCGCGTTGCCACTGGTCTACCTCTGCCTTGTTGTTGTTAATTGAGACATGGAATATCATTCTTCAACCACGCGTTTTTTTTATAATTGTAAAAAAAAACAATTTGTTTTTAGTAGAACTTCTAGCTATTTAATTTCATATAGTTAAATCATTGATACATAAAAACATAGATACACATGTCGTAATAAATATTTCTTCAATAAGTGGCGTCGACATGTGACGTTAAATCAAACCATAGAATAAAATTCAAAAGTTGAAAGTTCTAATTGTCTAAACACAAATTCGAATTTACATATACCACATAAAGTATTTTTTTAAATGAAACAACGTGCGTTTTAATTTTTAAAAGCAATGAACAAAAGAGATTTGAAAAAAAAATTCGAATTGTGCGATTTTTTTGAGGACACTTTTGAGACGCTAATTATGTATTTGTTTATCAAGTAGCGACTCATCCTTGCTTCGCTCGGATTCATCCCTAGCTTGCTTCCCAATACAAACTTACATGTCCATTTTCACCCCCTTTAAGGATGATTTCCGGTATAAAAGTTTCCAATATCCTTCCCAGGGTCTCAAGCTATTTTTTTCCCAAATTTCATTTAAATCGGTTCAGCAGATACACAGTTCGGAGTCACAAACTCACTCAAGAGGTAAACTCTTCATAATATTAGTATAGATGAGTTAAATATTTATTCCCTTTTAAGTGAATCTTATGAAAATAATCGTATTATTCATCATGAAATGCTAGTCACTGAGCTTGAATAACAATTACATATCATATACTTGATAATGTTAATTTGAAAATATACAACGGGAGTAATAGAACTTGTAATTTCCGGTTAGTAGGCGTCACTCAAATATTTACACTCCATCACATCCCTTGTTTACAACAATATTTGAAAGAATAAATTATGAGTAATTTGAACCTAAGATTTATCTATACAGATAAATAAAATGAAAATGTCTGTTTGTAATGTCAACATAATAGCTTTTTACTAAATGCATATAGGGTATGTACTAATAAGAAAAAAAACTTTTTTTTTATTTTTGCTTGTCTGTCTGTTTGTTCCGGCTAATCTCCAAAATTGCTGAACCGATTTTGACGGGACTATCACTGGCAGATAGCTGACGTTATAGGGAGTATCTTAGAAAAAATCTGGTTTCCGTGCAAAAAATAAACCCCGTAAAATTGTGAACAAAATCTGCGTGCTGCTATTTAGGAGAAAAGAGAAAATAAAAGTATATTTTATATTATACGACAATTAACAATTGTTTATTATATTTATTAATACTAGTACATACTTATATTTCTACTAGAACTTATATTTTATGGGATATACATAAAACTATAACTGACTGACTCCTTCGCAATTTATATTAAAGACTTTTTCATAGACGCTGGAAATCAACATAGCGCTATAGGTATTCTCTTATTTTTTTATGTCATGCTTATCATTTACCGAGACGAATGAATATTAAAAAATAATAATTTTGAACACGTCGGACGTCTTTTCTGAGAACTTTTGTTGATTCCATGAAAACAAGCCACAAGCTAAGCAAAGTATTGATAAAAGCTACAATTTTTATGCTGCAAAATATTTTAAGCTCACAAGATATTTCGAGCTTAAACTGTTTAACTCGCCAAAGTTTACTAACAAAACTTAATTTTCAGTTTCGACGTTCGTTTTTCGTTCAAAGTAATTTTTGAAATGTATGAACTTAATAATTTTATTTCCAAGATTTTAATAGACTTTTAAACTGCCTTTCGGTTTGGTTAAATAACGTATTCAAAAATGTACGCCTTCATTCTGCACATGAGTAATATTCTAAAAGTTGCATTTGAATATGGAAATTTTCATCGTTTTATCTCCTTTGGGATTGACTTTGTGATGCTGATTTTGGACGCAATAAAAATTACAGATTAACTAATCCACGTAATATAAACTAACATTTGCTGTACAAATTAGTATCAGAAGGCTTCTATATCATAAGTTGTTTTATATTGTTCAAGCATCGACTTGTTTGGCTAGGTTTGGCTAAGTTTGTTTGTCTTGTTTGTTTGCTTATAACTCGTTATAGAAATTGTCATTTGTATACCATGTATGTATATCATGTATGTATATCATGTTTTTAAAATATTATTGTTTGTCTTCATGGTGAGGTCTATAACATTCTGTCTATAATATCCTTAGGCTGATACTGTTATAATGAAGGATATTATGAATATTATATATCTATATAGCAGATCCATATAGCAGGCATCTTCCTTTTTTTGACGACACGTTTGGCTTAGTTTGTAGTGCTTGCTGTGCCAGCAGTCGCGGGTTCAAGTCCCGCTAAGGGCATTAATTTGTGTGATGAGCACCGAATGTTTGTATTCCAGTCATGGGTTTTGTTTTATTTATGATATGTATCTATTTAGTTATATATGTGTAATTGTGTATTGTATAAACTATCTGGTATAAATAACACAAGCCTTGTAGCTTACCATGGAATTAGATGGTGCTGTATGTTAACGTACCAACTTAAAAAAAATGAGTGAATATCATTTCATACTTTCTATCAAAATATTCCATTTAAATTTTACAATGGAAACTTTGTGAAATTTCTTTTGAGTGCAATAGTTGTTTTCTTTCTAAAGCCCGGGGTGATGGCACTTTAATGCGTTTGTATAATATCTACTTTCATTCGAAATTTCTGTTGGAAATCTCTGATGCACTTAGTTTTAATTCGCAAAGTTTTGCAAAATTCACTTTTACAGAGTATTGCTAGAAAAGGTTTTACAATTAAAACGTTTTAATGGATCATGATTAAGAGGTGCAGCGAGCGGAGGTTTTAATAATTCATCAGTATTTTACTAAAGTAATTTTCAAGACGGACAGATAATTTATTTCATTTAATTTTTTTATAAGTATTATTTATGCAAGTGTTTAAGCTGCTTTCAATAATAATGGTTAAATAGTAATTTCATTTAGCAGTTCTTAAAATGACTAAAGTAAATGAACATTTAAATTAAATGTTTGAAACAAAACTATCTTTTGGGATTTTCGCCGATTTATTTTGGTTTTTGGTTCTCAAAGTTTCCAATGTTTGAAAGACGGGTGAGACTAAGGTTGTTAGTATTCTACAATCAAAATAAATCCGCGAATAACAAAAAAATAAAAACCGACTTCAAACAAAAGCACTAAAAAGTAAAAAATAACTGATTGGTAGTTTTCATTTACTATACATACCTAATCAAATATTTTCGAAGTCGGTGTGCTTTGCTTTGTATGGGCTGGCACCGATTTCGAAAATATTTGATTAGGTATGTATAGTAAATGAAAACTACCAATCAGTTATTTTTTACTTTTTAGTGCTTTTGTTTGAAGTCGGTTTTTATTTTTTTGTTAAAAAGTTTTTATTTTTCCCTTTTTAGTGTAGACAGTAGTAGCAAAGTAAGGATTCTAACGTGTTAGGCTTGTCGAATCAAACAAAATAAGCCCAAACTCAAAGTATCTACTATTAGCCGTTGAAGAGTTCCACCTATCCACCTTCTGGCCTTACCATCAGATCAGGTCAACAACACCGAACCACTGTACTATCAACGGAAATAGAAATACTTGCAAAGTTTCAAGTCAATATGACAATTAGAAGTAGGTTAAATTCATCTTTAGTTGTTTTTCCACCCTTAGGGGTGGTATTTTTTTTTGAAATTTAAATGGGACCAATCTGGAAGTATACCCTTTCAAACAAAACAAAAATTGTCCAAATCGGTTAATAAATGACGGAGTTCTGAGGTAACAAACATAAAAAAAAAACATACAGTCGAATTGAGAACCTTCTCCTTTTTGAAGTCGGTTGAAAAATGCAAAGAGATAGTTTTATTTAATATAAAGTGTGAAATATTTGCGTAAATCTAAGAATTTTTTACTTAAATATTGATTTTATTTGATGTAAATTGTAATTTTTTACTTGCAGATGGTGCATACAATGATGCCGATAGCGCGTTCTATTTCGCTGGGTATGGCAGCGTCCCTGACGCTAGGTTACATAGGACTGGCGTTAGGCTTGGGCGCACAAGATCAAGAGAGACAGTTTTATCAACAGGTAAAATTTAATTTTCGATCTACTCCTAAAATGGAGGTAGTACTTAGTTTGAGCGTATTTATGTTTTTTACCTATATATCCAAATCTACTTATCTTGTTTCAATAATTAATTAATAAATTATTGAAATTATTAAAATAAAATCGAATAATTGCTATAAAAGTAATTTTGAAATCCATGTTAAATGGTAAATATTATATAATAATATATAAATAATACTTTTTTATGCTAGCTTTTTTAATGTATTTATAAAGGACTTATTTAATTTAGTTGTATTTTTGTGTGTTTGTGTTTTCTTACTTTAGCTGCAAAAAATAATAATAACTACCCGTTGCCTGTCTCGTGACCATGATTGCTGTAAAGTATAAAGCATTCGTAACGGTGCGTCGGGAACCAAAAATCAAAATAAATGTTAAATATTCGCGTAAACCTAAGAAAGTATCACGTGCTATATGTAGAATGGTAATTATTTCTATCTTAGTAATACTTTCTTAGATTTACGCGAATATTTGACATTTTAAGTAAAACTATTTTTTCGAATTTTACTTATTATTCTATATTATTCTATCTTATATATTTAAATAAATAATATTCCATGTTCAATTATAAAACTAATTAAAATTATAAAAATGTTTAAAGTTAAAAAATTATGTAAGGTAATTGATGAAATTTCCATTTTGTTAATTGTGGGTAGGCTGTCTGTAACAACTATACCTTCGAGACATCTCACACCTCAGTCTCTCCCGTGACCATGATTGCTTTAAAGCATTCGAAACGTCGGAAACCAAAAATCCAAATAAATCCGCGAAAAAATCCGAAAAGATAGTTTAATTCTATCTTAGTATTTACTCTCTTCCATTCAACAACACGATAGGTACAGCAAAACAAAAGAGACATTTATAAAATAAAACCTCCTAGTTTATAATATTTTACTCTTCCTTTAACGACGGATAACGAAGATGTATAAGCAGCTGCAAACTTTCAAAGTCCGCCTTAATGAAGTAAAAGTTTCACTCCTTTACACAACGCGCAAGAGCTTCCAAACAAATTAAAAAGTGCTTTACGATTCTTACGAGATCTATTCGAAGTCTAGTCTAATTAGTGTATGTACCTAGTTGTGTTTATAGGATCGAATAAACGTTAATTGGCTATTCAAGTCCCATAACGTATTTAGAAGGCATAGAGCACACGTTTATAGGGTTCCGTAGCCAAATGGTAAAAGCGGAAGCCCTATAATTTCGTCATGTTTGTTTGTCTGTATGTCACAGCCATTTTAATCGGAGATTATTGCAGATATAAACTGGATTTTAATAAATAGGTGTCTCATATGAACCACTAGACAATTCTACAGTCAGATTGTGAAAAAATATTTTCACAAAAATTATATGAAGATACGTTTTTGAGATATGGCAGATTAGTGGTTCAAGAGAGTATGCAGAATTGCAGGCGTTAAAATAAAAATTAAAAATATTTTTTCTTTTATGTTAAAACATAAGTTACATGTAATCTTTCCTGCTAAGGAACCCGATTTTTTAGTTCATATTTGTATGATTATAATTTAAGTTATTAAAAGTAAAAAAAAGATACAACAATAAAAGATACGACAAGACAAAAAATAGAGTACAAGAAATCTGTCGATGACTAAATGTCGATATTAAAATTGCCTGGGATACGTTTTAAGCGTCCATAATAGCAAATTTAAATTCTGCACCCGGTGAAGATAATCATATGTATATTAGGTACTGTCTGCAAAGTTGTTGTGATTTTCCGAACATCATATTATATTTTATACGTTACTTATTATGTAAACAATTTTTTATACTTATATTTTACTTTTATTTTGTTTTTAGTCAATATTTAGCTTCACTTATTTTTTATTACAATATCAGAAGTACCTCATGGTCTAGTAATAATATATCAAAAAGTTCTAGGTTCGAGTTCCAGTTCAATATTAGGTTTTATTGTCGAGGATTAGTAGATTGCTAGTAAGATTATGAGTGTTGTCACTAAAATTCGTTAAGAGAGTCCTCTTTTACCTAATTTCATCATTTAATTATTGTCATTATTATTATTATAGTCATTTATAAGCTAAACCTTATTACTTTCTCTGAAACATTGCTTAGAATTATGATTTCAATAAAGGTTATACAATGCGCCTGAAATTTTTTATTAGCAACAAAATATAATTGAACTTTGCCATGGATCTTTTTATTTGAGCGTATTAAAAGTATTTTCATTATTTCTATTGATTACATTTTACTATCTTTTCAGATGTGCCTATTATCTGTAACAAGTATATATATATATATATAACGACCTTTGAGATGTCGAAAACTTTAGTCTATCCCGTAACCATGATTGCTGTATTAAGCATTCGATACGTCAGACACCAAAAATCAAAATAAAACCGCGAAAAAATGAAGAAATCCGGAATGATAGTTTTATTTTAAATTAAAAATATTCGTGTAAATCTAAGAAATTATTTATTACATTTTAATTTTAAAATCATATATGTTTACCGTTACCGTACCAAACTTACTAATGTTTTTGACAATAGATCGGCCTCTCTCTCCTTAGTGCATATCAACGCGCAGAGTATACTTGCTCATTACAATGACTTTCTCGCATCTTTTAGCACCGGCGTGGTTGACTGTATACTCTTATCTGAAACCTGGCTTAAACCATCCCTACCGTCTACTAGTTGCTCTCTCTTCCAGGTTATAATTAATATCGTAATGACCGCATTGGCCGAGGTGGAGGTGGCGTAGGTATCTACCTACGTTACAGCATTTCTGCTAGTGTTGTGTCATCCATCTCCTCCACATACTTTCAGGGTCTCTCGCGTATCTCTTTTTAGAAATTTTAGTAAATCATAAAAAAATATTACTTGGTGTCCTTTACTGCCCGAATGACAAAATTAATTATTTCACTGATTTAGAGTTTTTATTTAACAGTCTTCTGCTTTCTTATGACCAAGTAATTTGCATGGTTGACTTAAATACATGTTTACTCAAAAATGACACGAGGGCCCAAACTTTAAATGCACTAATTTCTTCCTTAAATCTGTATATTCTCCCCTTGTCTTCTCCCACCCACTATTTTCCTAACTGTAGGCCATCTCTCATTGATCTTGACCTTAGTCTCTAATCCTAATCTTGTTATATCTCACGGCCAGATGAGTGCCCCCTTCTCCCACCATGACTTTAATTTACCTTGCATATAAGCTGCGTCCTCCAAAGGTTAGAGGCAAGATTCTTTTTCAGCGCAATTTTAAGCACATGGATCTGGAACGCTTAAGAGAGGATGTGAAGAAATGCAACTGGTCACCAATATTTTCTTCTAATAATATTGATTTATGGTCGAATCACTAACCTCTGAACTGATTAGGTTATACGATATTCACGCCCCGGTTAAGACCAGTTCGCATGAAACATGCTCCAGCTCCCTGGATAACACCAATGATCAGGAGAACAATGCTAAACGCGACAGGGCAAAGTCCAAAAACCAAAAAATATCCGTCTGAGGACAACCTTTCAGCGTACAAAAAAACTTCGTAAACATCTGCAACAGAATGTGTAGGGATGCCAAACGTCGCTATATTCACTCCACAATTCAGAATCTCTCCCAAGCGCAAGTTTTGGAGATTTCTTGAGTCTCTTGCGTGGAGGCAAACCCCCCGACTTCTAGCAAAGTTTCGGTTGATCTCAACAAGCTAAATTACCACTTAACTATCCCTCCTTTAACATTAAACTCCCAATTAAAATCTGCCTACCCTTACACATTTGTCTAATATTGTCCCACCTGACTCCTTCTCTTTCTCTTATTCGAATCAGTCTCAGAAGATGCCATTAAGAAGTGTATCCGCTCCATCACTACCAAAGCCATCGGTAGTGACCATCTCAGCCTCGACATGATTCTTCCCGTGGTGGATTGCATTGACTCAGTTTTCACTTACATTATTAACTATTCACTGGCTTGCAATATTTTCCCAACTCAATGGAGAATGCTCTTGTCATACCCATACCTAAAACTACAAATCCCACCTGCCTCAATGAATATCGACCTATATCCACTAATCCTACCTATCCTATCCAAAGTCCTAGAATCTATTGTACATAATCAGCTTTACCTCCTACCTTGCTCGTATAGAACCTACTATGTCCCTTACCAGTCCAGATTTCGTCCATGGGTTCCACAGCACTCATTGTGTGCGTTGAGGTTTCAACATACACGGAGGACATACGGTTTGCCATGGATAATACCAAACTCACTGCAATGGTCCTCCTCGACTTCAGTAGTGCATTCAACTTTTTTTTTTTTTTTTTTATGTCGGGAAATGCATTTAAGCATACCACCTGATCCCCCAGGTGGTGATGTGGGGCTCACCGGCTAGAAGAGCCGGTACTACCCACTAAACCCGACATTCCTCCCTCCCCCCCCGCCTTAATGGGGAAACAAGAAGCGCAGGATCGCTTGCGCATAACTACTACGGCGCCCCGGCGGCAGGTCTGCCTAAACGCTAGGCAGACCACCAAACCGATGGGGCTGCTTCCAACAGTCAACTCTGCTACGCAGAGAGGTTCCCGGAGCAGCCCCATTAAACCTAACCACCGCCCACCGAAGTGGCCAAAAACCTCCTAATCGCCTTGCAGAGGACAGGGAGAGCGGCAACGAAACACCGACACTCCTCTTCCCCTGCAGCCCCACCGCGTCCGCCATCAAACGGTTGGCGGCCCCGTCTAGGCCGCGGAAGGTAGGGAGAACGGCGCACCGAAATACCGGCACTCCTCCCCGCCGCGGCCTACCCCTCCGCCGGTATGTCGGGCCTGCGACCACAGTCCCACAACCGGCACCCCATCATCCCGGTTGTGGGACCAAGCGGTCCCACCACCGGTGGGCCGCAACATCTTCGGCTCGAGCCTAGACGAGCGGCCCCATCCAAGCCATTTGGTCCGCGCCGGATTTCTCCGGTACCACCCGCCGCCCTAAGCGGGTGGCATTCCCCTATCCGCCACCTGGGGACGCTCCCGGTAGGAGTTGGCTTCTCCCCCGGGAATAGTGCATTCAACTCTGTTGACTTCGACATTCTTCTTGGCACTCTACGCGCAGTTAATATTTCTCCTGCGGCTATTGACTGGTTTCGCTCATATCTTTTTGGGCGCCGCCAGTGTGTGAGAGCTAATGACACTTCATCGGTGTGGTTGGATCTCACGGCTGGGGTCCCCCAAGGCGGCGTTCTTTCACCATTACTTTTTTCTGTTTTTATTAACAACATATCTCGCGTCATTTCTTCTCCCTACCATCTGTATGCAGATGACTTACAACTATATCGCCATTTTGAGTTAACTGAGTTACCCGATGCTGTTGAGGCTTTAAATAATGATCTAGTCGCTATACAAACTTGGGCCGAATCTTACGGACTTTTAGTTAACCCTAAGGAAGTCTCAAGCCATAATTATTGGCAGCAGCAGACTTTAGGTGTAAAATAGCATTGGCAGTAGTCAGGTCCCTGGGATCATATACTCTGGGGTCCAAATACCTTACTACTGCGATAAAGTAAGGAACTTGGGTCTTATCTTAGATTGTCAATGACTTGGACACCTCATATCAATGAGGTTAGTAGGCGTATGTACTTCACTTTTTTTTTTTTCCATTCTCTAAGGCGTCTCCAATACTTTCTCACCTTCAAGACCAAAATTATGCTTGCGCAAATCTCTTCTACTGCCCATACTTGACTACGCCGATGTATGCTATTTGGATGTGACGGAGGAGCTTTTAAATAAATTAGAGCGTCACAAAATCTTTCGCCCATACGCTTTATCTATGGTCTGCGCAGGTACGATCATGTTTCCGACTTTCGTGCTCGTCTTAAATGGCTCCCTATCCGCCTTCGCCGTGATTATTTTATGCACACATTCTTTCATTTCTGTTCAATATCCTTCATAACCTCAATTTTTTCCCCTCTTACCTTCGTTCAAGGTTTAACTTTCTTCCCACTTCAACACGTTTCTAGGGCGGCCCTGCATCACATCGATGCTTGACATACCGAGAAGCAACACCAAGTTTTCCTAAAACTCCATTTCTCGGTACACGCTGCAGTGTTATGGAACAGACTTCCCAAAGTCCTACAGGAAAGCCCTTCTAATGATGCATTCAAAGTCAATTTAAAGAAGCATTTTCTAGCTCATAATTGAAAAATATATATCTTTCTGTTTCGTAATAATATAAGTATGTTTATGTATGTATGTATATGTATGTATGTATATACTCGTAGTTTTGGTATTTATTTATTCTCTCTAATGTTTATGTATTGTTTATAAGTAATATTTGTATTTATGTATTTTATGCTTATATATTATATATGGAACATATAGTGTGTATATATATGTGTATGTTTTATATATTGTATTTATTTTTGTTTTACATATTATGCTTATTCTTATTTATTTTCTTTTCTTTTCTTTGCACTTTCTCTTTCTGTCCCGCTACTTAACACTATTTCCCACATACATGGGTTGACTGGAAGAGATCTCTTATAGAGATAAGTCCACCTTTGTCCACATCATTTTCTATGTATTTTTTTTATTACTTTTTTTAGTGCAATAAAGAATATATATATGTTTTCACAATATAGAATATTCTTTACTATTACGACAAACTTAAATCTTTAAAAGACTTCAAATTATTGAATTTGTAGTTTGCCTGTAACAAATAAAATGTAAAGAAAACTAAAGTTAGATTTTGTTAAATGAATATTTTTATAATATTTACTACCGTACTTTATTTTAAATGATCCCTTCAATGTAAGCATGAATAATGCTTATGTAGAAAATATATTATGTATATAAAAACTAACTAACTATACTAGATATTAAATTTCAAAATGACATCTGAGAAGTTGTTCACCAACTTTTAGATAGCTGTTTAAGAAGAGAAATTCCTAACAACTGCCAAGACTTTACAGTACCTACATATATACAAAAATAATATTTTAATTAAATATTGTATACAGCCCTTTTTAACGTCCTACTGTGAGTTTCGGGGCTCCCTTCAATTTAAAGAGATCATCCCATAGACCCGGGATTCGAACCCGCTCCACTTTCTTCGCTTCACTTTGGTTTCCCTAGTGAGTGCGTTACCACTGGGCTACCATTGCCTACAAATATTACATTATAAAATTGTTCTTCAACAGTTAACGTGTGAACTGGCTCTCTTATTCTCTGCGAGTGGCATCGGTCTCTACTATAGAGCTCTAACTGAACGTGCTCATAGAAACACTTTTGCGGGTACAAGAACTTGTTTAGAACAACGTGTGAAGCTTGAATGTGAAAGAGAACAACAAGAAAGTCTCCTTCTATCAGTGATACCTGCTTACATCGCTGCTGAGGTAAGTAATTTTGAATTGTTATAGTTTCCAGCTTTTGAAAAAAATCATTGAATCTGTTTGAACCCAAGCTACAGACATTAAATGAAACAAAATGGTAAGATCTAATATAGACTAAGTTATGTTTTTTACGAGTAAACGAGTAAATCACATCATACACACGCATTTGGTCCGTGCTTTTTTGAGTCTATTTTTTATGATTTTTATTTATTACTAAGTTATGTTATATCTACTTAGTTAAGCAGCTTTAAGATTTTGGAAATAATATGCAATATTTTTACATGGTTTGTTAGGTTAATAGAAAACAACATGTTCTGGTGACAGGTGATGTGGTTTTCCTGGTTCTTCTGGTGATCTGATCTGTGAAGATTAAGCAAATAAGGTTGCATAAATTGCATGAAGGTGGTTTCATAGGCAAAAATGATAAAACACTTGATATTTTACACTAAAGATATTTTTACTCGCTAACCTACATATTTATGTCCACATTAACTCTTTAATTGCATTTCTTGGCCATAATGCCAGTTTCCTTTACAAATTTCTTTGATGGAAAAGATAATATTATAAACTATATTAGGTAAAGTTCAAATACTTTAAATAAGAACGTCTTATAAATAATTTTCTGTAGATTACTGCCTTAAGCTATTAGAATACTAACGAAGCCGAGTTAGCGTTATAACAAGTAGTCGGCGTAATTACAAGTACTTATAAGAAAAGCGCAATAAAACTGAACGTAATATCTAACGAAGTATCTTATTATGTTTGAAGTTAGCGAAGTGTATATTTTTATAAAGTATCCAATATTATTTTCTGATTTTTCATAGATTTTTTAGGTAACTTTAATAATTTTGCATGTAAATGTCATGAGTATATGATAATATTATCGGATGTTTCTAGAGATAATATGTTTAACAGCTACAGTTGAAAATAAGTCATACATTCTGACCTCAAAAAGTAATGCAATAAAATATTTACTATTTACTGTTAGCCTACATCATCCCACTGCTGGGCAAATACCTTCCCTCTAAGTTGTGCGGTCTTGCGCAAGTATAGACAAATTTGGATAGAATTTGTCCAATTCATTTCGCCATCTAGGTCGTGGTCTGCCGCGATGCCGCCTCCCTGTCTTAGGGCTCCACTTTGTGGTTACTTTGGCCCACAATGTTGTAGGTATACGCGGATATGGCCAGCCCACATTAAATATAAATTATATATTGGGACATTAACACACAGCACCATCTAGTTCCATGGTAAGCTACGAGGCTTGTGTTATGGTACCAGATAGTTGATACACTATACATATATAATATTAAACACATACATATTATAAATATAAACACCCATGACTACGGTAAAAACATTCGTGTTAATTACACAAATGAATGCCCTCAGCGGGACTCGAACCCGCGACCGCTTGCACAGCAAGTAGGGTCACTACAAATTGAACCAAATGTGTCGTCAATCGTATTAATATAAAATATATTCAATAAAATATATAACTTCTGAGCGGAAATCGAATTATCGATTACTTCTATGTATAGATATAGTACATAAGCTTATTACAATTATAATTGTCTTTTATGGGGTAATGATAGAGTTCATAGCGCTAAGCGCTACTATCTTTACACAGCTATTCTTCTAAAGTCATCAATCTATACATATTCGTCGGGGATACTAGGTCTTTTACGAGTATAATATGACGTATTTTAATATAATGACTACATTATCTTCAAGGATCCTGTTAAAAAATCAAAACAGGTTGGTTGCATATATTTCTTTTAGTACTTAAAGTAAATAGTATTTTAAATTAATAATACGGATAACCAGCTATCATCAAACCAAATTTCATCAAAATCTGTCCGATGGTTTTCTCGTGATGCGTTCCCAGACAGACAGATAGACAAAAATCTAAAAACTATACATTCGGCCTCTGTATTGATAATAATAACAATTTCAATAAGATTTTCCAAAAAATATTTAATACGAGTATACAGATTTATTATATGTATAGATAAAAAACATAAGTTTCATTATATTTGCCATATTGGAACAATTCCTTTGAAAATTTTATGCTTAGATAATAAGACAGTAAATAAAATATTCTAAATAAATTAAAGGAACCAAAGTTATCGTGTTCCACATCACAATAAACGACAAAACTTTATAAAAGTGAGGTCAAATTTGTTTATGACTCAAGTAACTTTAGCATTGGTTGGACATAAACTAGTTGACTTTATGGCGAACATAATGCAAGTCTTGGTTAAACTTAGTTATTTCACTTGAAAACTAATTTAATAAGACATCTTCATATTCCCCGAATTGTCTATTATACTTAATCTATATAAATCAAAATGAATCACCGAAATGTACGCAATGTACACGCGTAACTGCCGATCGATTACACCTAATTAAATAATTCTTTTTTTTGTGTTTGTTATTGTCAGGACAAGTTTATATAGAAGAAAATTAAAGGAAAAAAGAATTTTTTTACTAAAATAAAATTTTATTAAATGTCATGATATGAAAAACGAATTAGTGAAATAGTTTTTATCCCGGAAATCATCTCTTAAGGGGGTGAGAATGGGGAATTGGGGTATGAAAGTTTATTGGGAAGCAAGCTAGGGACGAACCCGAACGAAGCGAGGGTGAGTCGCTAGTTAGTAATGATAACAATGTTATATTTTTAGTAAAATAAACGATAATCGAACGGTTTAAGTATTGTTTCACTATACTTAAAACGTTCGTTTTAATGGTAAAATCCTTATTTTATTATTTTTCACAACCTGACAGAGAATTTAAATTTAATTATTTTAACGTAAATTAATTAAATTTAAGGCAGTTTCGCCCACGTATATTACCTGACTTTAAATGATAATGAGAACTCAAAATACCTGTCTATTTCTAAAAACAATCAGTATGTAAGATCTTGATTGATATTAACTATTTTTTTTATTATATACTAGCTGATCCAACAAACGATGTCCTCTTCAAATATTTATATAGTACAAGAATAGAAAAAGAACTAATATTTTTCCCATATTTTATATATTTTCCGATAAATTTTTTAACGTTTTGTAAATTATTTTTCTCAAAAAATCTTCATTTATAAACATTAAAGAATTTGGCAAATTGGTACATTCAATTTTAGCGGTCAGACCGCGCCGGTTGGTAAATGAAATTCTAAGGTATTTTAAACATATTATGTAAATTGTAAAAGCAAATATTTATATATGTACATACATATGACCGTTTCATAAAAAGCTATAGCGCTATTTAAAAAGTTCTCGAAGATGAGGCAAAATGTCTTTAGAATAAATTGCTGCTAGTTTGTAGTAAGGCGCAGACATTATATATTCTGACGCTTAGACTTGCAATTTATTTAGCAAACTTGTAAGGAAAATGTGATAGTTTTCATAAAAGAACTTATATATATTTTTAATAATGGATTTAGACCTTTTTAAGGTCCTACTACTGGGCACAATCCTCCCTTCGAAATGAAGGTGTTCAGGCCAAAGTCGGCCACGATGACCAAGTGGGGGTTCGCGGACTTCACATGTCTTTCGAAAAAATTACTAGGTTTTCTCAGACGTACAGGTTTCCTTACTCTGTTTTCCTTCACTGTAAGACAAGTGGTAATCATGTTGGAAATGATTCGCATATAAAAATATCAGAGGTGCTCTCCCGGGATTTGAACCCGCTTCACTCGGTTTCCCAAGCGAGCGTGATACCACTGTCCTGCCACTGCCATATTATATTATTATTATTTAATAAGCATTAAATGAATAATACATAGAATACCACATGCGGGCATCGATTACGCGAAATCAGCTGTAATAAATAAATTCTATTAGAAACATTACCATTAAACTGAAGCAAATTAGCTAATTATACTATGATCATGTTATATTTTTAAAGTAGATTATTTTAAAATAATAATGTAGAGTCAAGTAGAGATTTTTTTTATTAAAGTGATGATAATAATTATAGCAAAGAATTAAGCAAAGCTTTTTTCAACTGGTTATTTGATGAAACATAGCGGAAAGAGAAAGTGGTCGGAAATTTTCAGTGATTCACATTTTAGCGGTGAAACTGGCGTAAACATTTGCTACGTTGTAAGAGTAACATAGAACAGTAATATTTAGAAATGACATGAATTATCAAAAAGAGCATTACAAACGTACACAGTGTATTGTTTTTTTTTTAACTTAAATATATTTTTGTACTATAAAATTTTCCTAATTGTTAAATTGTATTTAAAAATAAAAATAAAATGTCTTTACTTTAAGTTTGTGAATTGTGAGTTTGTGACGTTGTAAGGGGTAATCTCTGGATCTACTGAACTGATTTAGATGAAATTTGGTAAGAAGATATTTTTTATCCCGGAAATCATCCCTTAAGGGTGTGAAAATGGGGATGAGTTTCTACGGGGAATCAACCTTGGGACGAACCAGAGCCAAGCGAGGGTGAGTCGCTAGTCGTTCATAAATCTAAGTGTAATATCAAAAATCTATCCAATAAATAAACTTTATGCCACTTTTATAATAGCTATGTGTTAAAGAAAACACTTTTATCAATCCTGGTCACCTACTTCGACTGAGTAAACATTTCGGAGATAATTTGAAACTCACGATCTGACATGAAAATATGTTATTATCCAACGAAAGTTATAGGACTAAATTGATACATATTATTAGGATGCTTAAGAAGATCTGACCAAGTGGTTTATAATTAGCTGGTCGTGGGTTCATTTTCTATTAGACAAATGCTTATGACATTAAAAATATTTGGATCAGTTTGGTTCTAGAATTATATGAAATGTCGTCTCACTTCATAAGGAATCTGACTGAAAAATACAATATTTTGTAGATGGACGAATTGTGGTTAATTCGTTCATGATTTTGTCATATCCATCTGTATGGCATCAATGCACACAGAAACTATTAGCATTTTGTTGCTGAAATCGAAAACCTCGAAGATGTCCCATATTTTAGAGAAAATATTCCAACCTTACGTATTAATTACTTTTAAAATGTTTTGAAGTCACTGTAATTTTTTAGTTAAAAAGCAATTATTATTAAACTTTGGAATAAAGTTGGATTTATTTAGTGCTTCATTACTTAGTTGTACATTTAACTTAATATATAATTGCTGTAATATAGTGCTAGCATTTACTATTGTAGATCATGAGTTCGATTCCGTGATCCGGTTTAAAGTTAGTTGTTGTTTTTTTTTTGTAGAAAATTATTAAGTAGTAATCAGTAAGCAATTTGACGATATTGAATCACCAGGTGACTCAAGGAGCTTGATTCGCACAGGTCATGCGTCAGATCTAGACTGTCGTCCCACCTTATTGACT